AACCTTGAAAATTGTTTAAATAATTTTAATAACACTCAACCTTGAAAATTGTTTAAATAATTTTAATAACACTCAACCCTGAAAATTGTTTAAATAATTTTACTAACACTCTACCATGAAAATTGTTTAAATAATTTTACTAACACTCAACCTTGAAAATTGTTTAAATAATTTTAATAACACTCTAACATGAAAATTATTTAAAGTAATTTTAATAACACTCTAACACGAAAAATTGTTTAAATAATTTTTTTGCTGATGGATTTATAAATTCTTCAACTTTTATTCATACGTTAAATAAACAACACCCTATCTTAAAGCTGCTAACTATTAAACAATTTTACCTGGTTCCACGTAAACCCTGGCCATGGTTCTTCTCCATAACTAAACATTTCCCATAAAGTAACACCAAAAGCCCACACATCACATGCTGAACTAAATGTCCACGATTTCACAGCTTCGGGAGAATACCTTTCACACAGATGAAAAAAGTTTAAAAATTAATTCACAACAGCGTTGACATTTCTTAATAAACAGAGAAAGCATTCATATTTTTATATAAAGTAATATATTTCATTTATCATTGTGTTTGTTTGTTTTAGAGCCAAACCACATTGGGCTATCTGCTTTGCCCACCACAGGAACTTGAACCCCAGAATTTATCATTTAAGTCTGTAAACTTACTGCTGTCCCATTGGAGGACTATTGCTGTGTTATTCTCCATACTTAAATGTCCACATATTTCACAATTCACTGCTTGTAGGTACGTCAGCATTCCATCACTGAATTACGTGCAAGTAGCAGCTAATGTTTACTTGTTTGTTAGTTCTATGTATAGGCCTGGCATCCTAAAATGCTAAGACCATAGAGCATTGTAGGTAACTCAGACACAAAATGTTTCACCATCAATAATTAATAACAGTGAACTTCAACACTCTGTGAAATAGAAATGTTTTAAAAAAGAAAAAACGGTTCTAAGTTTCAAAAGAGACAAGAGGTGGATGGTAAGATGGTTATTGGCCAGTTATTCTTACTTTTGTAGTGGGAAAAACTCAAGAAGTGTTAATAAAAGAAGCTTTACAATATAATTTAGTAAAATATGATACTAAAGATGAATTTCAGCATGGATTCACTAAAAAAGACATCTTCCTATATTAATCTGTTATCTTTCTCATGGATATTACTTGTTATATGGATAAATGAAATAACATCAGTAGGAGTTGAGGAAAGCTGTGTTCCAGTTAAGTTATCTTCTGGATTAATGATAGGACAAAGACCTCCCGATTTCTTTATGTTGTATTCTGAAGACAACAGGATGAGAAGACAAGAGTTTAAGATTTGGAAGTTAAGTTTCATTTTCCTTGATTTATGGAATGAGTTATCATTGGGGGGTATTTTAAGAGTTTAAGATGGAAATCAATGAATTCCTGAAGAACAATGAATGTGTTTAAATCTTTATTTTTTTTTTTTTTAAGGGTGAGTATGCAAGGACAGCTTTAAAGGGCCGATTGGTCCCTTGCTGTAAATATATTATGTTAATTGTTCTTAAGCTGAAACTGATTTAGCAATTAAACTTAAATAATTGGACATATTTATCATCTTATTCTAGAATACATAAACTACTGGCATCAAAAGTATCTTTCTTTTTTGATAATTCACTGCAGTATAAAAGCAAATGCTCATAAAAGAAATTAATATTACACTTTCAACGAGCACTGAACAAATCAATTTTGTTAAAAAAAAAAACATGTTGAATTCAATCTTCTGAAGGGTTAAGTTTTCTTTACATTTGTACTTTCAAATTATAATAGCTGGGTAAGAAAATAGTATAGGTAAAACAAAAGAAATTTTATATGCTATTCTAAAATTATAAATTCAATTTGAATTGACTTTGGTATCTCGGTGATTAGGGTTAGGTGATTTAATCGATAAAATCAATTACTTATACACGAACAGTTATTACATTAAATGGTGTAATGTAAATTAATTGATTAATCAAAATTGAGATTAAATTGATTAACTGAAACAAGTGTCCCCAATTATTACTGTTTTTTTTGTTATTCCAACAATCAATTAATTGAAATTATGATCAAATTGATTGTTACGAAAATAACCAATTAATCAAAATTAGGGATTCCAATTATTACAGTTTTAATTATTCCAGCTATCCAAGTAATTGAAATATTGCCACCAAACTTGCTCATCCTGTCTTTCTTTGTTATGGCAAAGCTACTATGGCTATCTGCTGCTGTCACTAACTTTGAAAGGCTGACTAGAGGGTAGGCAACTGGCTGGTAGCACCCTTGTTTTCTTTTATTTATTGATATCTAATCAATTAATGGTACCACTGATTAATCAATTAAAGAATTCCACTAATCTGCTTGTGATTATGTGATTATTTCGTTGTCGTGAACCATGTGCACAAACATACTGTCACCAATGTACAAAAGCTGACATATACATCCCTAAACTTAAAATTTAAACCTGTGTATGTTCAGTACAAAAAATAATTAATCTATACAACTAACCATGGAATACGTTGTTTATAGTTTCCATTACTGGTTGCTGTGAAAAAGTCTTTGCCGATTCCCATGGCTCGAGATAACCCAAAATCACTGACTTTCACCTGTAATGACGATTTAGAAATGACTTGTGAAATCTCAGCACATTTTGTGAAAAATAAATCTATACTACCAGTTTTCAAGAACAGGAAGGTACATTTTCCAGTTTTATAATAATAGACAAATCATACTGATAATATTAACAGAAAATTGAGAAAAACACTTAGTTTTCTGACCTAATTTAAAAAGTGAAGCCTAAATTGCTAATTGAATAATGTATACTCTTTACATGCTAATCGATTGTTATATATATATATATATATATATATATATAAAGCATTTAAACACTTTCTGTGCAGCTAAACTGCAATCAAACGTTTGAGTAAAATATCTGTTAATTTGAAGATTCAGCTTTTGCCTGTTCCTTTACATTACTGCTATGGTTAACCCATTAACCTCTGCAGGAGCAGCTCAGTTGCCATTTTCTGACTCACAGACAAAACCGAGTTGTCATCAATCACAAGAAAATAGTAATTATCATTAATAATCAATCAGAGTTATAGTTATACATGTGCGACTGACTGAGCCATAGAACTTCAATGACGGAAATATCCGTCATTCGCAGTTAATGGGTTAAGTATGTGTAAATGGTATGACAGAAGAATAAAAAGCACTAAATATTTTTTCCATGGAATCTTAGAAGGCCTAATTAAGTCACGTCATCTGCAGTTAATGGGTTAAGAATGTGTAAATGGTATGACAGAAGAATAAAAAGCACTAAATATTTTTTCCATGGAATCTTAGAAGGCCTAATTAAGTCATAGCAATTTAAGTTATTAACTACAGAACAATCCCCTTATGTCTTGTACGAATCTGCTATTCTCGTAGGACAAGGCCTAATTAAGTCATAGCAATTTAAGTTATTAACTACAGAACAATCCCCTTATGTCTTGTACGAATCTGCTATTCTCGCAGGACACAACTTATCTAATACATGTACAGAAACCCAAAATTCCACCTTAATTCTTTAAGATCAATAAATTATACATTCTAAGTATCACGTTTTGAGTAGTGTCCTCTTAAATTCAATATATCTCATCAAACAAACAATTAAACTATAATTTCTGAGCTACATCACTTACCTTGTTTTTTCCAAATACCAACACATTTCGAGCAGCTAACTCTTGGTGTACAAGATTTTTACTTTCTAAGTATTTCATCGCATCACAGATCTGTTGACTAAAATAGCATAAAGTAGGAACTGAAAAACTCCGCTGAAAAACTGGTTCCCTCAAACACTCTAGTAGTGACCTTTGTGGAGCTAGCTCTGTAACCTATTCAAAAAAATGGTAGTGACAATAATATGCAAGTTTAAAATTGACTATAGTTATAATAAGGCTTTAGTATTAGGCCTATTATGTTTCTAACACTAAATTCTTTATGAAGTCCCTTGTGGTGTTTCAAGAATAATATAGGTGTATAATAGTATTTCAACCACGCTATGTCATCGGCAATGAATATGACAGGTACAGTGAGCCTGAAATACTACTACATACTTTTCTTATTCTTGAAAAACTCAAGGAAAAAAATAATTAATGTAGTGTTAAAAAATATAATAGGCCTTATATTAATGTCTTATAACAAGTATGATTAACTGTAATCATGCTACTCCAGCTTAGAAAAGGCAACCGCACCATAAGAGTAAGTTTAAGAGGCTAAAATATACGTTAATACTGGGTTTGTTCTTCCTTATTGCAATTAAATAACATACACACACATTTTTCTTAACAGCCATCTTTATCATAAACACAATAATTCAGTTTCTGAATGACGTAACAATTATGAACATTATTTCATAAGCAGAGAATGCTAAAGACTTTGTCATTAGTTTTTTCCATCACACATGTTGTTGCAATGTAGGTAAACTAATTTACTTCAATCGGTTTGAGATGTTCTTTAATTTGTGCAATGGAAGAATTAATGAGTTCTCTGAATGGTCCTGCTGACTAGTAAGGAATATTAAAAACATCACAACTTTTATTTAGTCATTAAGACACAAACTTTACATTCAGAGGATATCTAAGCTCCACCTCCACAAAGCTATAAGGTTGTTAACACAGCTATTCACTCTTCCACCGAACTTTGTAACATTATGCAGTGGTCTTTTTTGGCAATAAAGTTAGAAAAACATTACCTTTAGTCTCCCGATAATAATAATAATAATAAAACATTTTATTTCAGCCAACATTTTGCCATCATGGCTAGTAGTAGTAGAACTGTAGCCTGTCTGTTATCGAGGCTACGCGGTAATCTGTTCTATTAGCAAAGAAAAAAAATATGCAGTAGTCTGTTGTTCTAGTAATATACGTAAGTTTTTAAGTAAGACTACAGCGTTGTCTGTTTGTCTAGTAAGATTACGCAGCACCTGAATGTTACTGTTTACTAAAAGGTTATTAGAATACATTAATTCATGAGTAATTAAAGTTGAACAAAAGTTGATCTTTGTTCACTTAAACTTGTAATCAGTTTTCACATATTTCATTTTTATTTCTAAGTATTATATATCAATCACACTGACTATCTCAACTCCCAAAGGTATATTATCAGAATGAATGTGCTTTCAAAAAAGTAAAATACCACGGGGAGAGAAATGACACGTTTGGTGTCTGCCTGTTAACAACGAGATAACATGCAGTCTTGATTAATGTATCTTTTCTATTTCATAAGGCCATATTTACCTTATGTATCACATTGAAACATCTGGTGTTTATAATCAACAAAACAAACATCAATAAAAATGAAATATATGGTTTTGAGATATACACATGCACGCTATTAAGTCTTTATATGTGTATATAAAATATTCTGTACATTGTAACATTGTTTTATTATTTATCATTTGTTAAACTGCTGATTATATTACTGATATTTACAGCAAACTATGCCAATAATAACTCACCAATGCTGGGCCTAAATATATGACAAGTGACTGTTTTGGGTCTTGCTCAAGTGTGTTAAAAATTACATTGAAAAATATTACTATTGTTCACAGAAGTGCAAGAAATCCTTAAAACAACATTTAATTCACACTTGGTGGACTACGTGGTCCGATTACCCTGACACCACATGAGTTATTGTTCTTAATTGGCACTCATTTTATGATGGTGTAAATTCTAACAAAGGAAAAGATGAGGAAATTTCATTTTGTTCTGGCTTCAACTGTCTGATCTGTAAATACTACTTTCTCTGCTGAGCAGAGAATGCTGAATTCTGTGTCATTAGCTTTCCCGTCATGTATGTTGTCGCAATGTTGGTAAATGCTGGACTAATTTCCTTCATTTGATTTGGTTTAAGATGTTCTTTAATTCGTGCAAAGGGGACAGCTTATGTAATTTCTCTAGCAACCAGTTTAATTCACCCAATCAAACAGACATATTATAGGGTTAATTTTAGCACCTTGAAGTGGAGTGTTCATTCTGGAAGAAATGAAAAGTTCTCAAAGTTTGGACATCAGATCGGAAACCCAAGGCATGCACATAACAAGAATAATCTCAGGTATACAAATATATATTTTCCAAAATAAACCACGAGCAAACAATCATACTTAACTCCTGTTGGTATGGAGTAAGGGTTCTTTCTACTTTATAAGAAGGATATGTATTTAATTCACATGGATCCTTGCTTTGCTCCCTTCTCAAAACCCTAATGGTCCCTTTGAGTATTACAAATAAAGTTGGTATTATCAGTATTTTATGGTTAGCATGTAGAAGTTTTAATAAAAGGTCAAGCATTAATTTAAAAAGTCAGACTTGGTATTTTTGTCCTAAAGATAAATATACAAGTTACACGTACAACTGAACAAATGTCAACAGTTTGGGAAAAAAAAAGTATCTAAAAAACAAATATTTCTCATAAACCTCAAAGAATAACAGCCATCTTGTGAAAAATTATATATCAATTTGAATTTTAACACTTCTCAAATTAATATGTACATATATATAAACATACACACCTACATATAAAAACACACATTTATATCATGCTATCTATATCAGAACTCATACACCAGCACTAGGTAAGAGAACACTGATATAAAACAAGTTTCAATTCCATAGTCAATATAGATAAACGGAAACTGTTTTGAAAAATAAAACAAGCCATAGCTTTTCCCATATTTAATAGTTAACAATGTACTTCTAAAACACTGCATACAGACAAGCTTAACGAAAATGAAATCACACTATTACAATGTCGGAAATACCACAAGGAGATAAAAAATCACAAGGAGATAAAAAATATTTTCATTTCCCTACCATCATTAAAGAGTGAGTGTCAATGATCACACCATACAAGCGCACAACATGTTCATTATTCAGAGAGTACTGAACGTTTATTTCTTTAAGAAAGTCTGCAGAACTGTTGGGAATCATTTCCTTGTTCAAACACTTCACAGCAACTTGGACCTGATGACAGAAAAGATAAAGTAAATACAAACTCTGCCACAAGAAAATGCGTTGCATGTAATGAATTAGTGAGTTTAATTTCACATATACATCTAAGTATATTAACGAGCAAAAAAAACAAAAACAAAAGAAAGAAAGTAAGAAAAGAAAAGAAAAAGAGAAAATTCCAGCAATTTCTGGTGACATTAAAATTTCAAACTTATTTATGAATTGTATCGTTGTTAAATAGATATCACTGAAACAAATATTTTAACAGGAATGCAATTTATTTTAATGGAATAATAATAACAACTTTCACCTAGTTTCTTTGATTGTAATCAAGTCAATGGTATAGTTTTTTTTGTTTCTTTTATTGAGACTCTGACCTACCTGACCAGATAAGAATTGGTTATATTGAAGACACTTCTCAGTGACTGACCACCAGGAGGATAGCTAACAATTATATCTGACGCAAAAGAACAACTGATGATAAGAGTTTAATAATAATTAGTTTTAAAAGTTCTAATAAATATATACCTAAAAGAAAGAGTAAATGCTCAAGGAAATTAAATGATCCTTAAGTAAGGAACATTTAAACATTTATCTAAATATCTAATCTATATCTATGCAGCAGAGATACAGGTAAAATTCTTAAAGCTTTATTACTACTTAAATTACTGGCTTTTTTTTTTTATATTGATGAGGCACAGATACTGCATCATACTGAGTAATTTTACGGTTTATTAATGTGACAACACTAAGTATAAAGAAATGACAAAAAACAAAAAAGTGGGTGAAATCACATATATTCTATGTAAAATATATATAGGGATTTCCAGCAGTAATTCATGGGATTAACTGCATCACTGATAGTACCTGTGTTTACCTTTTTTTTCTGACTTGTACTAGAGACACTGTAACCAACAAAGTCATGGAAATACAATCACAATCCTGTGCAAGTAGCTTAGAAGAATGTATTTAAAAAAAGGGGGGGGGATGAGATTCACAAGGACTCAAGTATAAAGTTTGGCAATTATTGTAATTTGACAATCCATAATCATCATGAGAATATTTATTAAAACTTAACGACCTTAAATTAATCAAAAATAATAATGATAATTCATAATGGCAATATTTTAATTACTAGGATATAGAGCTGTGTGATTAACTCTGTTAACCGTTTACTTGTTAACATCAATTACATCGTTTACTGTCATATAAAATAATCAACTAATCATAATTACTAGGATATGGAGCTGTGTGATTAACTCTGTTAACCATTTACTTGTTAGCATCAATTACATCGTTTACTGTCATATAAAATAATCTACTAATCAAAAACAGTGAAATCACTTTGCATAATTGTAATACACTCAGGGATACAAATAATGAAATAAAATTACATTCACTCAATGGGAAGTTATCAGGAAGATTACGTTCACTAAAGGGAAAGTTATCAGGAAGATTACATTCACTAAAGGAAAGTTATCAGGAAGATTACATTCACTAAAGGGAAAGTTATCAGGAAGATTACATTCACTAAAGGGAAAGTTATCAGGAAGATTACATTCACTAAAGGGAAAGTTATCAGGAAGATTACATTCACTAAAGGTAAAGCTATCAGGAAGATTACATTCAGTAAAAGGAAAGTTATCAGGAAGATTACATTCACTAAAGGGAAAGTTATCAGGAAGATTACATTCACTAAAGGGAAAGTTATCAGGAAGATTACATTCACT